TTATAATTCAGTGTTGTGAAAAGAAGTGAAATGTTTGGAATGAATTAGAATGATCACAAGATCCCAATAATAAGGATCCAAGAGAAATTAGAAAATGTAACTTTTCACTCTGTAGTGGATTTTATTGTAGCTACAAGTAAAATACCTTTTAATATTTATTATCTGTAGTCCATTCTTATTTGCAAAGCACTGTACCTATATGCTCCTCCTTGCTAACGGTGTCCTTGTGAAGGAGGCGTAAAGTCATGAAGGAGCCCTTGTCCCTTACACTGTCTCATTGGGGCCAACACACGCTTCCAGTAAAACTGGCCCGGCTCTGGCTCTCTGAGCGTAGCATGCTGTGCTGTCTCACATAGTGAAGCTCTGCACAGGTGGTTACCTCCGTGAGAAAGTCTCTCTTTCCCTGTCTACTTAGAGAAGAGTGTTATCCAGCCGCTACGCGACTCCTTCCGCGGGCCGTGTTCGTGTCTTTGAGAGGCTAGGTGGGGCCGAGCAGCTGGCGGGCAGCTGGAGCCTGAGCGCTCTCAGACGCTTCTACAGAGCCCTGGATGTTTACCCAAATCTTTGTGACCACAGCTAAGTCTATGAAAACAAAAACAAAACCCCACGATACTGCATCTTTACTAGACCAGCTCCCAACACTGAACAGAAACACACACGTGCACTCACACCCTTCCTTCAACAAGAGAAATAAATGGTCTCACAGAAAATTCTTCTTCCCCTGTTTACCTATTAAGAAAGGAAGAACAGGGGCAATTTTCCAGTTTTGAAAGATGAGTAAGAGTAAGCGGACATGGGAACAGAGCACAGGAGAGTCCCACAGGGAGAGGGGACGTCTGAAGAGCTCGAGGAAAATGTACGTTGCTTCTAGAAATTAAAAACATCTTAGTGCCTACTCTAGATATCTGAATAAAACCAGGAATAGTGGGGTATGTATCTGGCAAATATAAGATGAATGATTCTAGGGATCCAAAAATAGTTCTTTGATGTCCAGGTAAGGAATTGGAATGTGAGCCTTATTTGAGGTTTTTAAACAAAAGAACCCCTTGATTAATGCAAAACTAGTATTAAGGTACAGTGTAGTCACTGCACATAAAATGGGAATTACATTTTTAAAATAAATTAATAATATAACTGCTTAAAATGAAAAAGTTATGAATTAACAGTAGTTTTTCATCTAAAAACTAAATCTGTAATAGCATCAACAATTTTTTCAAGTGAATAAATTTCACTAGTCACTAAGGTGGAACTGCAAAGTAAATGCATCATTTCCACTATTTTTAATCAACTCATAGAGGGATTACGTTTATGTTTGTTTATTTAAACATCGGTAAGAACTCTGTGCTGGGTTGGTTAGGCACTGGAATACACTAGCAAATAATGCAAAATCATAATTTTTAAAAATGAGTTTGGGGTGGATGGAGCTTTAGAACTAAAAATTAGGCTGATGTATACCAGTTAGTCACTCCAATATCTATTATTTACTCAGAATTGTGTGGGGAAAGAAGGTAGGAAGAAAGAGTGAAGCAACATTTTCTAACACTAATGATTTTTAGCATAAAGAAAACCAGATTTTTATCTCCACTTATTTCTATGTAGATGTTACCAGCACATTATGAACACCATAAGTCTATTTAAGTTTTACCTTTTTCAAATAACAAGGTTTCAGCTATCTTGTCTTAATACACATACGTTCTATTATAATGAGTTAATAATCATTAAAATTGCACAGAACTATACTGCTTATTCGTATGTGATCTGTTACTCTAGACTATTTCGCTTTCTGAATCTAATGGTTCTGCCCTAATATGGTAACTATATTCTTCACATGAGGATAAAACTTAAACATCAGATCAACTGTCCACATTAGTAAAGTTAGAGCAAACTAACCATCTTAAAAGGAATAAACTATCACTCACTTCTTAGTCTAAATTAATGTTTGTATAAACAGAGTGTTTTACTAGACTCAAAATGGTATATAAAACCAAGTTAGCATTCAACATCTGAGTTTTCAAGGCATTTTTTTAAGAAGCCCTGCGTTTAACCTAAATGTGCTTTTATGACCCTTGAAAGCTAGATGATGGATTTGGTTCTATACTTTGTAGAGTTCAAAATGGACTAGATTTTCTTTATTAAATATTAAATATTTTATCAGTTACTTTTGCCACAATAGTAAAACTGCAAAATTTCCCACCATCAATGTTTCTCAAGTTTCTCCTGTACACTGTTTAGAGTGTGCTTGATTATCCAAAGACAATCACTGACACCATATGAGAAAACATAGGAGGAGAAACAATAAAAACTAGACAGTATTCTTATATTAGAAGCCACTGGAGAAAATAAAACTTACTTTTAGTTGTCAGGAATTTAAACTGAAAATAACACAATTTTGATCTCATATTTAGCATAAGAAATTATTAAAACATTTAGCTAACTTATGTAACAGATTGCTAAATCTTCAATTACCCATTACTGAGCGTTCATTAGGTACAAAACATCACTCACGTGGCTGTGCATGGGTTGGGGA